AAGGGTAGACTTTATACCGGGATGTTTATCACAATGCAGGCTTAGTGGAGAGCGGCCGTATTATTCATATACTTGCTTAGCGTACAGTGGATTCTTATCGCAATCTGAAGTAGTAACATTGCTGTTTGTTTGTTTGGTCGATAGAAGGTGTTCTTCTTCAGAAGACATTCATCCTGAATCACAACCATCTAAGCCGTTCCAAGTGCGCTGGTAGTGCTTGGAAAGCGTAACAAAATTCAGTGGTTCACAGGCTTATCTAAGAACTAAAATTTAGATCGCAGCTCTTATGGAAGACTAGTAAGCAGAATATTTGGAAAATATCACCGTACTCAGTCATTTATTTGCCTAATTTCCGCATCACGTGAAAGTGCAATGACCTTCGTGAGTTCAATACTGTGGACTCTGGATCAAAAATGTCATACCAGATTGGTTCTGACATGGGTGAGCGGTTTTTAAATGCTGCAAACAAACTCACTGATCTAGTGATATAACACTGAACGATTCTATGCTAGAAGTATCCCATCTCTACCTGAAACGGCATTACTTTTCCGGTGATGGTTTCGACCATTTTCAGTACTTGGTATAGGGTACCCAACTAAAAATGTAGAATTAATTATTTTTATCTTCAGTCAGACTAATATTTGCTAGGTACCTTTCATCAAGACAACAAACAATGATGGTATACGTTTGATTGAGCGACTTCAACGAGAGCGTTCAAATGTGTGTTCAAAGTCTCACGTATTTACACGTCTTAATGGAGGTAAAAATGTCGCCTCGCATTCAAGCTGTTTGATAAGATGTATAGTACAGATCGTAAACAAGTGATAAGCAACAAACGTATAATGAATATGTCATTATTGCTTTCAAAAGTTTTACTTTCATCTTCTAAAGCAGTCTTTGGATGAGAATCTGATAACTACTGAATTTATTGTAGGATATGATGGAAAAAGTTCATGAACCATTGTTCCAGGCCACAAATCGATTGATGAACTCCAACCAGCCAAAAAAAACTGGTGTCATACTTGTCGGCGGGGAGGATCTAGCGTAGTAACACACCTATTGCTTACCACTAAATTCTGAAACTCTGTTTGCTGTAAAAGGTTTTATCATTTACAGTCCTGTGTATTGAATAGCTTTGAAATGCGCAAACCTATATACTGGACCCAAAACAGAACATTATATAGGCTAAACTGTCAAGCGAAAGGCAGTTATCATATTCAAAGCCAAGATTCGCATATCAGATGCTGCCTAGGATCCTCAAACCAGCAAATGAGTCAAAGTACTGACAAAAATTGGCCACCAACAAACAAAAATATGTAATAAGCTTTTCAATATAAGGTAGATTCATTTTTGGACAATGAACTCAGCCCGACTGTGATAATTGGGCAACTGCCTCCTAGCGTGGTTCGCCAGAACACCAGCGTCAGCGTCCTGACTGGTGGCGCAAACTACAACATCCATCTGTCACTCCCTATCTTTCTCTATTCTGTATTTCAATTCCCTTCTCTGAGTAAACCAACTCGGAAAATGAACGATATGGGCCCAACTATGGTTAACACCAATTAAATGAATTCCACCCAATATGATTCCAGAAGCCTCCAGGCAAAATTTCCGAACAACATATTTACGTGCTAGTTAGCAATAGACCAAAGAAAACCAAAGTCCGACGAAAAGGTTAGCTGGCTGGTCTCCAAAGGGACTTGATTATTAATCATTTACACATTCTCAGGGCTGACGTTTGTATTCATCCGCGCTTCAGTGAAGCACTTCGGTAGGATGCCAAATGTGCGCCCTATTCGTTAAACCAAAATCTTGAGACCCGGTGAAAGGAAAAGAAGGGACAGAAGTAAATTCGAGTTTATTATGTACAAGTGTTCCATGTAATAAATCTCTAACAATGAGTAAAAAATGGCAAAAGCGTGACGTCTGTCAATTGACCATGGGGTGACACTCAGACAAACAAAAACATTGTCGCGCCACACTTGAAGGATGCTTGCTAAAGTTATCGCATGTTCTTATCCTAAAATATATCACATTTTGAAAGCTGTTAGTTTGAAGTCTCCCAAGTTTCCAACGCCACATAAAAAAACTAGAGTTGTAGGTGATAAACACAGATGGTAATCAAAGTATTTACACTTTCAATGCAAGAATACCAACGTCGAGTTCTGCATTGTTAAAGTAGCATACCCAACAATGCTATGACACCTATGATACGGAATATTTGGAAAGTAAACACAAGTGCACCACTTACATTTCGAGGTCGTTAGGACTCCTTAGTCCTTTAGTTAGCTGAGACATCGTAAGGCATAAATCATTATTCTAAAGTCTGAATCTCTAGTGCAGTTAACGGTAGTCATGCTTAGACTAATAAACTAAAACAACCCTTCAAAATATAGGAGATTATTAGCTTAACTAATATGCTGCACAAGAAACAAACCTATGAATGGAATCTAACGGCCAGTCATTTTGTACTTATTTGCAGCGCAAATGATGCACGGTCATCCACGTCATCGGGTCACAGCAAGCTATAAAAGATTTCAGAAATCTAGTGTGTGGTTCATTGGTCTCCGTCCGAAACTAACATCAATGCCTTTGAACGAAGCCGACTTCACAAAGAAAAACACCTACTAACAAAACCAGTTTCATTTCGCAATATTTCTTACTGATAATAGAGTAACTCAAACCAAACCAGAAGGACACTACTTCATCCGCTGTTATCGCAAATAAAATAAGAACTTACCTAGATACCTGGGTGACCTGAAGTAACCTGCAGAACCACTCTTTGGATATTAGAGCCTTCTTGGTAGGCTATAATATCGCAAGAAAAAGGTGTATTGGTCGGGTTGATTGATTCTATTGAGAATGTACAATGAAGCATCTGGGTTTGACTCCAAACGTGTCTGAAAGGTATCTCCTGACATAAAGGAAAAGTGATGCTAAAATTTTCGTATAGTAATGATGAAATAAATTTTACCAAAAGAGCCTTGACAGGAAATCGATTTGTCCATCACCAGCCGACTATGCTATATATGTGCTATATAAAGATTTTTAGGGTTACCTTCGAAGCATTTTCAGCTCAACATGAGATTTGTAGTAGTTTGTGCAGTTTCCTTAACTTCTTCACCGACAGAGGTTATCATAGAGCTCATTTTCTTGACACTAGTGATAATGCAAGGATTTTTAGGGTTACCTTCGAAGCATTTTCAGCTCAACATGAGATTTGTAGTAGTTTGTGCAGTTTCCTTAACTTCTTCACCGACAGAGGTTATCATAGAGCTCATTTTCTTGACACTAGTGATAATGCAAGGAAGCATAGATTTTCAAGGTCAATGGCATGGCTCAGAATAGGGTGTGCGAGGCGGAATAATGTCAAGACCTCTTCAAATGAGAGACAAAAAGGTGAACTGGGCGAAGGGCATATCAAATGACGAACGAGTTGTATCGAAATTATAGTCAGCCTCAACTTGTATCTTCACCTTCAGGAAGGTCAAGGGAGAAGTTAATCTAGCCTAGTAGACAAAGCAAGGTATCTTGGTGTAAATAAGTATCACCACTGTCTGAAAAAATATCAACATGAACAATATAAAATGGTCTGAGGGATAAAAGAAAATAGTAATCAGTTCTTTCGCACAACATGGGAATTTGCTGCCAAGTTCGTTGTATCACAGCTTCAACCATTGATCTATTTGGCCATCAGACTAAACTGCTTCTAGGTTAATGAAATATTTGACCAAAATTCTCAACTCTCCGACTAAACCAGTGGTACTAATACTGGCTGCAATTACGACAAAATTTCACAAAAAAGAAATAAAAGGAAACAATTCGAATCGGGAACGATAATAATTCCTCTGAAGAGATTTGTTCCCACTTAAAAGCTGTGGTCTAAAAACCACTGGCTGTGAAGTAACGGTAGCTATAAACTCAGTACATAAAAACCGCAGAGCGTGGAACATTAGATAATATCAAATTTTGTGACACGTCCTTCAAACGGCGACTGAATCATTTTCAGAAGCGGTCGAAAATGCCCAAGCAAGCACATTTTTAAATAAGAATTTTTCGTAGATGTAGCATGAAGAGGCAGACGGCAGTTGGAGTAAATCAGTTTGTCTCACCTGCATGCGTATCATCGTGGACGACAATTTCCCATCATTGGTTATGGCAAAGTGAACTAATGCATGCCAGATCCGGTAATGTACTAAAAAGGTCACGTGCTGCATATACAGGTTTGGTTAGTAAGCTCACAAGCTCGGAAAGAGCCATTTAAACCTGGTGATTTCCGAGTTGAATGAGGCAACTTCACGGTAGAGTAGAAGATATGCGCAAGACCGCAGCAGTTTGTTCGCATGAGTTCATCCAAAAACTAGGGGCAACTCAACCAGCAGAAACACATCAGTTAGCCAAACTTAATTAATTTATTCAAAATTCCCCACAGCTCTTTCAGAAAGTGAATGTCAGTAAACAACTCCAGGCCCAATTCTCACATGCAAATTTCCAAAGCTTCAACATTGTTTGGATCAACCAAAGAAGCCCCATTTTCCACCAAAACGTCGGAATAATCAGAAAATGAGACTATATAAATAGGGTTTTCTGGCGTTTTGCTGCACTTCAGTTCCTTTCGGCGGCCAGCCCAAGAGGACACTCTTTATGCTGAAGATTTTTCGTTATTTCAGATTTTTTCCTACAAGGACGTTATATATTCCCGTGCTGGCTAAAAGTTCTACTGATTTCTCAGGACTTCCGGAAAGAGTGACTTTATTAATGACCGATTGTTGTGAAACACTAACATTTCTGCGTACACCAGTTCGACTGTTGGGTGGGCGTTGCTGTGCCCATTTTCATATTCGCTGTAACTCGTTCAAAATTACGGTCTCATAATAAAAGCTAGGCTGTGCAGTTTTAGACCAGTCGACGAAAATTAGACCGAACTGCACAAAAAACACGAAAAATCAGTAAACAAACACTTCCTAAGTGTCGATTATTAGGTTCACTTACTTGCTTACCGCCTGGAAGACGACTCCGAAATCCGTCGGAGAGTGCAACAATTTGGAATATCAGGCAGCCACCGTCGTCACTAAAAGGGAACTGACGTGACAGGTCCACAAGTTTGCCGCCCAGCTTCATTTCAATACGTGTCACTATCTTTAATGTATCATTCGTATCAGGTAAAACGTAAATACGTATGCTGTTGTCCCGAGTTGTATCGCAAGGTGCAGTGAACGCAGCAAATCGAAGTAGCTTTGCGACGCTAGCTTCGCAGGTAGTAGAAGGCAATGACATGAATATCCTCCCTGCATGAGCAGATGGCACACCGAAGGTTTGCCTTTCTCCTACAAGACACAGTCGCTGAGGATTTTTGATGGTCACTTGCGCTACACCGCCTTCGAATAGTTGACAGAAATCAAGCGAAGTAAAGTTGCTTCCCGGTTGCAGGGTGCACAAGTGCTATGAAACACAAGATTTGAACAAGATATACACCTCAATGATAAATCCATAGTTGCCGCAATGTGAGAGGTGGTGGACCACAATTGCTGCTTAACACAGTTTCCAGTGAGAAACTAATTCTATCTGATTAAAAACGTGATGCATTTCCTGGACTTCTAACATAGATGTCTAACAGTATGAGAATGAGAGACAAAAGATACGAACCTAAACATCTAGTCCCAAAGAAAAGATAAATATCGGAGCTGTTAAGCGAATCTATAACTTTACTAATTTTAAAAGAGTGCTTTACCAGCTGACCTAACACGGATGTTGACCCGAGTCACAAATGTACAAGCCGATCATGTTCATATCCACTTGTGTAGGTCGAATATCTAAATGTTCGCTAGACCTTAACTTGGGCAATCAGCACCTTTTTCTCTAAGTACCGTTATCAAGCTCTCCACAAGAGGAGATAACCATTTCTCAACACTAGGGATGTAAGCCACGAAAAATTGATGTATCTAGGCTGACAAGTGTTTGAGAACAATGAGTGGAAGTTGAACTGTTTTGACTGTTGTGTATAAATGCGGCAAGCTAGCGCCGTCATTCGTTTACGTAAATTTCGATCCGAATTTTTATGGGCAGGAAACAGTCTGTGTACATTTTTGGTCGCACCGGATTTATTACTTTGATTTCTCGCTGACAAACAACACAAGGGATTCCGATTTCGTTTAATAACAGCAACCTTGTGATGCACATTATCCTTTATCAATAAGTTTCCAACTTCTTGTGGCTGCGAGCCCTTGGTTAGTTATTCTCCTGGTAGGCTTGGAGGAGAAGTTTGTTTACACTAGGTTACCCCCAGCCAAGTCCCTATGACTGCACTGTGCTTACCCGTCAACTTTTGCTGATCGACCCAGCCAAGTCCCTATGACTGCACTGTGCCCACCCGTCAACTTTTGCTGATCGAGTATTTGAGCCAATGCAGGGTGGTCTGCTGTCCTCATGTCTATAATAGACCATCAAACACACCCGTTGATATCCCAATCATTTGGCTGATCAGTATGATGGTCATTCGGTAGATTTTTCAAATATGGTGCACAAAAGAGGCATATGGCCGTTTACTGGTAGTCTTTGGTGTATCTTTGGAACTAACGTCACTTACTTTCTGAGTCTAGCTGAAATCGTCAAATTCGGTATCAGCATCACACAAAACACATGGAAATGTCATCGAAATGTTTATAAATAACTGGCGCATAAAACCGTAAAGTTCCCTTGAAACATTCCCTATCAGCAAATGGAATGTTTTGGATTGTTTGCAAACGAATCAGTAAAACGCCCGAATAAGATGGTTTCTCTTTGAAAAGCTCACGCGATGAATTGTGCCTGTTTCTGTCGTGTACTATCTGAAAAGTTTGTTTCGAGTTTGAGGGGTCTCAATTAGAAAACCATACTGTGTGAGACTTTGTATCACGATTAAAGATGGTGTTTCTTATTTTTCGGGTATTATTATCCACTGCTTGTGTATACAGTGGGAGGTTGTGACGTAATGTATAGCGGCGTAGACAATAGGCTGATAAGTATAGGAAACGCTAGGTTAGAACGGTGGTGTCGGCTAGACATCCTGCGTAATGTTTTCTGGGTGCATAAAAAGCAAGCAGAGACTTGATAATATCGTATATAAAAGGAAACCGTGCAGAGCAGGCAGAAATGTAAATTAGGGATGACTGAACTTGAGCCGTGAATTTTCTTAAACTTAAAGGAAACTCTATCAGTTGAGATATCCTGGCTTCAATCCATACATCAGTATCTGGTATTTGTTCCGTATTATAAATACCTGGGTTTCTTGTCAAGACTGCCGCATCAAACCGCTGATCAGCGTGGTCACGGGAAGGAATCCTCCCGTTGATAACTCTCAGTAAGGAAGAAATGGCACTTCGGTGCATCTCGACTTTCCGGTGTAGATTAAATTCGCTTGCAGGACCAACTTCCTGTGTTGATTTCAAAATCTCACGCAATCAAGAAACCATCTTCATCAGTTTCAGGGTAATTGGTAGGCGTAAAGTATAACTGTCCAATGGTAATGTAAGACAAACTGTGCGCAAATCATGTGACACCCCTATAGCACAGCAGATCTTAAGCATGCTAAATTTCATTTGATCTTCGCTTATTTGTGGGATCAGTCCACTCAGGAATTTTGTAGAAGACGCTCAAGTGAAACACTAAACTTAGGCTTTGTTCCTCAGCCATCATCAGTGGTATATACATTTGCCCTTGAATGGAGGAAATTACGGATATTTCAAACACGTTGTGAACACAGGGTAACACAGCGATTTTTGAGTGCCCATTTACATCCACGTCATCTAAACCATAACGATGTCTTAAAACAACCATTTTAGTCAGGTCAATTTAAAGCAAAGTCTCACTCTACTTGTTTAGTCTTATCAGAAGACATTGACAGCGCATTTACTTGAACTTCCCGAGTCTGAACTCTGGACATCTGACGTTCAGATTGGGCCTGTTGCCATTAAACCAGAGATAAACCTGAGTTTTCGACCCCACCGGATTCAAGAATCCACGGAAACACCTAACGTTTGAGCTCCGACTGACTGACCATTGAAATAGCCAAAGCACCCTGGTAGGTTAGTAGTAACATACTCACCCTACGTGTTCAGATTTCCATTCCTAGTACGTCTACTTAAATGCGTTGCTGATAGATCGTAGTAAGTTCAAAGGTTGAGTCCAAGGCTTTTCTGGCCGTTTCGGGACACAAAAAGATATACCACATGCGTCATATTAATCCAAACACTGGATATACCCACCAAGTTAAAATGTGAAAAACTAATGTGACTACCATTTCTGGGAGATGGTTTTAGCAGCCTTTTTTACTAAGCTTCTTTGTGGTAGATGATCTGGTTTTTAAAAGGCTATATTTGGAAGCCTCATGATTAGTAGTACAGAATCATCATACCAAAAATCGATACATTTTCAACCAAAACGTTAGCTTAATTGGGAGCTTTGATTAGGGAATCAATATTTTTACTGTGTGCAACTGATGGACCTTGGTATGCCTGATTTGATAAGAGTGATATATTTATTCGGGGTTAATCATTCCAAACCGAGATTGATAGCACAGATAGCCCAGCTAAATTTCCAGATTTCCTATGTGAATTTGAAAATCAAATTATGTGGAAATATAGTTTACGCGCCACTACCTACTATCACACGGTATAAAACAGTAGACCATTCAGTGATCTTTGATACTCAGGTGATGTAGTTGATTTCGTCTGTTCAGCCCGTAACCTCTGATTTCTTGTATTTGAGAGGTCAAACTGATTCCTTAGAAGTTGATCAACCCAAAACAAATCATCCGAAAGCATCCAAACTACCATCATCCTCTTTACTGTACCTTTGTAACAGACAAAAAGGCCGACTTCCCAATATAGAAACAATTAATAATGCAGACACCAATTCTTGAAGGTGGTTTTATTCCACAAAGTTCACCCATAAAGAGTTAACCAAATGGGTATGAAGTTTGTAGGTTTGTGGAAGTCTAATTGGTCGATATCAGAGACGGCTTTACCAGTCACGAGTAATTCATTTACAGGACTTCATGCCGCGTCAGTCAAAAATCATTTGTGCTGAATGCCACGCACTACTGCCTGGGTTTTGGTATACGATAGTTTTTTGCAGTAATTTGTCATGAGCTTGTGGGGTAGTGGTAATACCTCCGCATTTTATATCAGATGTCCGCGTAAAATAAGATCAAACACGAGACCAGTGCTTCCCGTATTTGGTATGAGCTGAAGAAAGTAGTTGCAGCTGGAAGAAACAAAGAACGCTCGAAATAGAGTGGTGTGAATACGCATTCTACGAACCCGCAACTACCTACAAATAGAATCTCATTTTCAAAAACTCGATCGTCTCATCTGTTCGAAATTTTCCAGGATTGGTTATCAAACTACACCCTCTAACAGCACCAAGTTTCTCTTGAGGGAAAAAAACCAACCTGGCAAAGATGAGATTTGGATTTGGATCACTTTACTTAACTCGAAGGAAACATCATGACAAAGTCTTCTGAAAAAGAACTCACCTGCCAAGGACCAGGGGTAGACGAACTTGACTTGTCCCTGAGGGAAGAGTTTTCCTGTACTGACATTGGTTCCCTCGTTCTTTTGCCGCACTCTTTGTCAGCCGAATATAAGTTAGGGAGAGATTGTCCCATAAGTTGTATCAGCCAGTTTCCTGACGAAAGGGCAGCACAATGTCGGAATTTCAGTGTCAGAGACTCGAGTGGTGTTAGGTCGAAGGGACCGAATTCAATTGTGGGACTGAGCAGTGTCTGATTTTCTGGAAATGAATGAGAAAATCAAGCTTTAACCCATGCTTTAGTTGTGCTGCATATAATGTTGTGGAGAGAGAGTTACTTAATCGTCTATTTCATGAGTGCAAAAATATGACAAAACTTGCAAACGTGATGAATTTATTGGCAGATAGATTTTCAAAATTTACGAATTCCGTGTTCGGTGAATGGGCTTGTTGATTTATATGTGCAGCCAACTATGCGTATCACATTTTTTAGACTGATTACTAAATTTGAGTCACGAAAACGGCTTGCTGACTCCTGTTGCAGTCGGCGTTATTACGATTCAAAAATAAGTGCTGAACAGCATATGTCCGCTCCATCCGTATCCGAAAGTACAATCCAATTAAGTTAAACCGTAGGCCGCAAGAGATTATGCAATTGAGACGCAGTCGGTTTGTAATGGTTAGCCTGCTTAACAGTAATGGTTAATAAAATCATTCTAACCGAACCAACTCAGCAGGCAGTCGGACTGACTGGGACAAATAGGTTTGATTTTATTGCATGAGGAGTGAAGCAATCAGGCATTGAGTTCCGGCAGACTGTCTGTTTTTGCCTCACCAACTGTAACGCGCATGANCGTTATTACGATTCAAAAATAAGTGCTGAACAGCATATGTCCGCTCCATCCGTATCCGAAAGTACAATCCAATTAAGTTAAACCGTAGGCCGCAAGAGATTATGCAATTGAGACGCAGTCGGTTTGTAATGGTTAGCCTGCTTAACAGTAATGGTTAATAAAATCATTCTAACCGAACCAACTCAGCAGGAAGTCGGACTGACTGGGACAAATAGGTTTGTTTTTATTGCATGAGGAGTGAAGCAATCAGGCATTGAGTTCCGGCAGACTGTCTGTTTTTGCCTCACCAACTGTAACGCGCATGACAAGTAAACAATAGTATTTCGCTAATCCTGTGAGATTCGGTTTCAAGTAGAACATAGGTTTGACAGAAACTACCAATCTGCCAATGCATTAATCGCCGAAGTTCACGTGAAAAGGTATAGTTCTGTTCATGCATGTATACATTAACTCTCTTACTGAGTAAGGCTCAGTGAGGCTTTACGGAAATTGATAACAGCTTTCTGTGCTACTGTGATTATAGAGGCGTTTTTTATAACGCTCCACCCAATGACAAAACCTAACGAGCTGAATTAGTCCCCCAAAGCACTTTGTCACATACTACTTACAGTCAAATGGGAATGGGAAGTGTCCTGGAAATGTTCATAAAAACAACTGAAAATACCATGACTGAGCAGTTAAATCTACAGCTTTTACCCCAGCATATTTAAAAGCGGCCGTTTTTCAATACGGTCTACTAACCTCGGTGACATGGACGTGAAAAATCCCGCGGCGTAAGTTTTTCCTACCTACATTCAATACGTACGCAATACTACTTGGTTAACGAATCAGACTGTACTTCAATTTTCAACTACAGCGACAAACCAGATAATGGCGTTAAATGAAGATAAAACCCCAAGTTTCAGCAAGCCCTCTATTACCACCGAAAAATATGCGCTGGTTTAACGACTGCATGCATGCCATACAATACAAGAGAAGAAGCATGGAACTTGACTGCTACTGTTACAGAGTACCCAATCTTCGCGCTTGGTTTAATGTTATTTCTTTTTTTCCCAAATACTGATTTGTGTTCGGCTATATATCACGTCCACGGGGTGACAGTTGGTGAATCTCTTCTGATGCGAAGCAAGGCCTAATCTTTGGGATTAGCAAGATCAGTCTGCGTATGTGATGCGCTTCCGAGACGGCCGCTGCATTCATGCGCAAAATGAGAATTTTCAACCTCTCGTAGTTCACTAGGAACAGGCTCTCGATGCAACTATTGTGTGCAATTCATGTGGAAAATTTTCACGTGTGAGTCATTGATAAGTGTTGCTTTTCAGATTCATATACTGATGCGGTTCTTCAGGAACAAGCATCATTTGGTAACAAAAGATGAGAAAATTAATTGCATCAGTGTCTAGTTTGGTTTACCGTTATCACACGGAGTTGTGATGCCTGTGTGCTGGCTAAACTTCACCAATGCACATAGCTGTGGGTGGCGGCAAAATTAATCACACATTCTTATCACAGGAATTGCCGACAGTTTACTTTTAGACTGTCTTGTTGCAAAAGTTTCTTTGACAGCGATGTGGTATATGGGGTGGGATAAATAGGATGATGCAACCTCGATATCCATACCATAATCGGCACAAATTTCACGGGTTAACAGGCATTTTTTATAATGGCTTAAACATATAACTCAGATCTATGAAAATGGCAATTTACAGGTGATCAGGTTAGCAACTCTGTTTTTGCCTCACCAACTGTAACGCGCATGACAAGTAAACAATAGTATTTCGCTAATCCTGTGAGATTCGGTTTCAAGTAGAACATAGGTTTGACAGAAACTACCAATCTGCCAATGCATTAATCGCCGAAGTTCACGTGAAAAGGTATAGTTCTGTTCATGCATGTATACATTAACTCTCTTACTGAGTAAGGCTCAGTGAGGCTTTACGGAAATTGATAACAGCTTTCTGTGCTACTGTGATTATAGAGGCGTTTTTTATAACGCTCCACCCAATGACAAAACCTAACGAGCTGAATTAGTCCCCCAAAGCACTTTGTCACATACTACTTACAGTCAAATGGGAATGGGAAGTGTCCTGGAAATGTTCATAAAAACAACTGAAAATACCATGACTGAGCAGTTAAATCTACAGCTTTTACCCCAGCATATTTAAAAGCGGCCGTTTTTCAATACGGTCTACTAACCTCGGTGACATGGACGTGAAAAATCCCGCGGCGTAAGTTTTTCCTACCTACATTCAATACGTACGCAATACTACTTGGTTAACGAATCAGACTGTACTTCAATTTTCAACTACAGCGACAAACCAGATAATGGCGTTAAATGAAGATAAAACCCCAAGTTTCAGCAAGCCCTCTATTACCACCGAAAAATATGCGCTGGTTTAACGACTGCATGCATGCCATACAATACAAGAGAAGAAGCATGGAACTTGACTGCTACTGTTACAGAGTACCCAATCTTCGCGCTTGGTTTAATGTTATTTCTTTTTTTCCCAAATACTGATTTGTGTTCGGCTATATATCACGTCCACGGGGTGACAGTTGGTGAATCTCTTCTGATGCGAAGCAAGGCCTAATCTTTGGGATTAGCAAGATCAGTCTGCGTATGTGATGCGCTTCCGAGACGGCCGCTGCATTCATGCGCAAAATGAGAATTTTCAACCTCTCGTAGTTCACTAGGAACAGGCTCTCGATGCAACTATTGTGTGCAATTCATGTGGAAAATTTTCACGTGTGAGTCATTGATAAGTGTTGCTTTTCAGATTCATATACTGATGCGGTTCTTCAGGAACAAGCATCATTTGGTAACAAAAGATGAGAAAATTAATTGCATCAGTGTCTAGTTTGGTTTACCGTTATCACACGGAGTTGTGATGCCTGTGTGCTGGCTAAACTTCACCAATGCACATAGCTGTGGGTGGCGGCAAAATTAATCACACATTCTTATCACAGGAATTGCCGACAGTTTACTTTTAGACTGTCTTGTTGCAAAAGTTTCTTTGACAGCGATGTGGTATATGGGGTGGGATAAATAGGATGATGCAACCTCGATATCCATACCATAATCGGCACAAATTTCACGGGTTAACAGGCATTTTTTATAATGGCTTAAACATATAACTCAGATCTATGAAAATGGCAATTTACAGGTGATCAGGTTAGCAACGACTTTTCAGAATCCAGTCAAAGACCGCGTATATTTCCATCAGGATTTCACATAGTTTTACGAGCATGTAATTAGAGGCACATGTTTTTGAAAGATCACAGTGCTGATTGCCCGGGCACACAGATCAACATACTCACAGTGGCTTTTCAGATTAGTTAATTAAACCGATCGGTTTTTAGTTAAAGTGCACTTAACCAGCATAGACCAAACAATTTCCAGATAGTCAGTCGTCAGAATACCAATCCTAATCTGAGCTATCTAGCTTGAACAACCAGACGCCTAAAATCAAATCTGTGTGATTAGAAAAAATATTTAGATCCTTTCTAACCTGGTAGGGCGGGCATGACAAAACCTTCACTTCAGCCTACACTTCACTTCCGCGTGACCTCCCTCTGTGACCTGAAACTTCCTCTGATGTCCCCAAAGCTATGGCCACATACTTTCCTGTGTTGAATTTTCACAGGTTACATCCGGTTTTACGGCTCTCGACTGCTACACAAAAAGGTTTCAATCCGCCATATGTGACAAATGATGGTGCCCGGAGGAGCAATACTTCGTTTCACGAGCTCGGGTAGTCCTGTTAGACTATGTTTTACACTGTTACCAGGATGCCGTTTTCCGCAAACCAGCAAATATTATCTTGTACCCAACTAGTTTACTCTTATGCAGCATGAGCAAACAAACCTTTTCATCTGAATTGCCAAATGACCCACTACTCAAGCAGGTACCACCTAGCCAACCCCTTTCAATAAACTGCTACCAAAATGCGATTTCGCCAGCTGAAAGTTAGTTCTACTTCAAAAATGGGTATCAGGAACATAAAGCGATGAAGTAAAACTAGTGTCTCAGCTGGTAAATGTCATTTACCTTTCAAGGACGGGCGATCATTCACCGAGTGACGAACGGACAAGTACACAACCCGCACTACTTGAGTGCCAAAGGCTTTCGGGGGGATGATAACCGAAACATCTAAAATCAAAGAGGACTGAAGATAATGAAAATGCTACATCCTGATTTAAACGCGTTTTCTGAGTGAAAAGCCGTTCCTAAAAAATACCATTCAGAGGAACATCTGGTGATAGTCATTATTGCTTTAGCTGCTAGTGACACAGCTGTTGCTCGTCCAAAAAGAGGGATGAGTATTAGAACGTGAATAATAAGGTAGTGACATGCAGTGACAAGCAGCTTGCCTCACCGTCGAACTTTAACATGGGTCCAGTGGTCCTTCAAACTAAGTAGGCCCCCTGTGGATGCAGCACCGTTCCTCGGAAAGAACAGAAAACTTCCAGAAAAGATTACTGGACCACACCGTGGAACTCACGTACGTTCATTTTGGATTCGACAATTTGTATGTCTGGTAAAATACGTGATCAACACTGGACGTTTAGATTTCTTTCAGCACATTTGACATTCTTTTCCTGATCTAGTCTTGTTGGAGAGTTCTAGCCATAAACTTTCTACGCCGGTAATAATGCAGACCCTCCATGAAAGAAACAATCATTTTCACTTACCGGTCTCTTCAATAGACAGGATGCCTCCATCAGGAGGTATTCTTTTCCATGCATACGTGATGACTTCCTCATCTTGTAGGCGGTCTTGAAGACAAAATCGACTGCACATCAATAAAGACTGAGGTTTCGCATACAAATGGTAGTAATTTGTTGGCTTCACTTGCTTCTGCTGTACCTGACTTAACGAAGCGCTACTTCCCTCCGTACCGCTTTGTTCACCTCCAGATAAGAAGAGAGTGGTACAAGTGTTCACTGGGGAATCTCCACTTGAGCCACCTTCCGTCAGAATGTTTGGACTCGTGGGTTTGGAACATTTCCTGGAACCGAGGACCGCTGGGTTGCGTTCATCATCCGGGAGGGCAATTAAAGACTGATTCTCAGCCAGTGATCTGCCGAGTCAATGTTAGAGGCAAAGAGGCGTTGAAATCTGGAGTTAGATCTTGACAATAAGATAGTAAAGATACTGCCCAGTCTGTTTCAATATGGAATCGATGTGACAACGATTACCTAAACTTCCAAGCTTGCAACTTCCCGATCACAAAGATACACAACAAACTTCGAATATAGAATTCATATGAGTCGTTCGTCAAAACCAGTGTTGTATGCAAATGTCGAGCCCGATTTTTGAATTTTACGACCTATAAAGGGGTCCGTTTCAGACATAGTAACTTTCAAAAGCCTAGTTATCTCAGTGGTTAAAATAATCAGGGAGGAAGTCTTAGTGAAAAGCCTTGAGGATCTTTATCCTACACTACATTAGCAGGCATACATTTTGAAGAAAATTGCACCGGAAACGTCACCTCAGTGAAGGAGACTGAACAAACTGTGGGAATCACAATGGAATCAAGTAAATCCTTGTAAAAGTAGAGCCAGTGTAACACCAGATGGAAAAAGACCAACTTTCACAATGCAGGACAAATAAGAGTTTCATCTTTGGCTAGTTTAACAACAACTATAACAGTCACTAAGTGAATTGCAACACAAGCTTACCCTAGCCGGACATGCATTCACTTCAAGCACGCATATATCTACAAAAATGATCACCTGATAAACATTTAACATTGTGGCTAAAAAAACCTTTAAAATATTAGAAATCCTAACTCTAATCAGCTGGTCTTTCCTCCGGGGCCCAAATCAGATTGTAACTGATAGGAAATTACCCGGTGATGTTTAACAGAAGGTCGGTATGACTTCGTAGGATATTGCAGTTTCTTATAGATTGTGACTAGAGTGGAACATTTTCATACACCCTTCAAGGGCTTCCGATTCACTCGCAAATCCTGTGGACTATCCGTGCTACTAATGTACGCCTGGGTTGTTTCAACCGGTTCAGTCCACCGGATGAAGCCTGGTGTTGCAACCATGACTAATCACCCTGTAGCGTGAATGGTGTACGTACATCGCTCTCTTCCCAAGTTCCATCACTGTTGGTCTGCCTTACTTTCTCCATGTATTACGCTCTGCGTTAAGAAATGCAGTGCCATGCCCGATTCGTGATTAGTTTGCATTTTAGTTCACCGATGTACTAGAAATCTAGGATGGATCAAAGTGTTTTAAAATATAGAGGAAGAAGAAGCTTGTATTCGACTGAAGGTGGAAGTGACTCCTGGTATTCAGAGCCTAGCACTAAGGGACTGGCATACTAGTAATTGTTATAATTTATGCAACGTAACTGGTTCTGGAGTAAGCTATTCGTATGGTATGAGATATTAAATACAGTGTGAGTATATAGCGATTGGCTGCAATTAAGCAGTAACCCTGAAAGTGGATTAGAATGACAGATCTGTTGACATATAACGACACCTTTGATAGATATAAGACGTCCCGCTCCCTAGTATAAACATGAATAATACGGTATGAAGTTAAAAAGGTCAACAATGCTTCTTCGATATCTCACGGGTGAAACTGTGGCACACTGTATACACAATACTGATCCTGAGTTTCAACAGAAGCCTGCACACCGCAGGTAATTGTACCATCCATCAATTGAGTAGTCGGTTGGTCACATTTGAGAAGGCTGTTTTTTCCATGGGACTTTGTAGGTGATTGTGAGATTGATCGGAGTAAGGAAGATGAATCTGTAGGCCATTGTGTGCTGGCTTCTTCATTTCTATACCAGTCTGTATGGTGATTTGTGTGAACAAGGATATCCGGCTTTGACGAACATTTGGATGACGTTTTCCTTTTATCAACTTGAAGTACGGTTCCAATAGAATCACCATCTATCCTTAAATCCATCTGTTTTCCACGTTTTGTGAACGCCGAATCTACCAAATCCACATGAGAAAAAAAGGCAAACGTTATTTTACTCAGCGGCAAAACTGATCGTAACGGAATAGTTGGTTGTAACGTTCCAAATGCACACTGAAATCATTCACCGTTTGCTTCAAACGAATAAAGTGCATTTAACAAACTGCAGCTTCTTGGGGGCGACTTATTGCACAGGTTTTATGGGTGATCTGGCATTGACAAACAAAAATGCCTAGGCGCAGCCATTAGTCGAGGCAACCTACAAGCTTCTTTTCGACGACTCGTCATCGCGCGTCGGCATCCAGCCTAAACATGAGCTAAGAAACACCCGTAAATAATCCCATCGACTATGCGTCTTCCTCGGGGCTTAGTAATTTAAATCAAAGGTTTTGGCAACATTGTTTCTTTAACATTGAAGAAATAATGTCATACGCAAATCCCCTAAGAAGGCAGGCTACAAAATATGATCACGTAAATAAACAGATTATTCATAAGTAATTTCCTCTCCGATTTTTTTATTTCAAGGACAATACTTGAGAGCAAAGTCACCTATATTTTACTCTATAGTAACCTGAATCCAGGCAGTTCAGCAAAAACGGCAGGGGAGCTTCTTCACTGCCGTTCACTACAGTCGCTTTCATTTTACGCCCAAACATATCAACAACAGATGGGAAAAATAGAAACAGTGTGTGTGGATCTGAATTACACTTTCAGAAGCAATATAATTGTCTGAAATCTGTCCCAGTGTTGAAGACTTAGCGGTTAACCATCTATAGGACAGGCACTTTTGTGCAGCTCCGTGATAATATCAATGTTGTGGACGATGGTTGATAATTCCAGCGTATTCTTCGAAAGCGTACCCAAAGAAGAATGTCAGTCTACTTTGTAGTGCAGTGTTTCATATCTACAGAAGTTCCTGAGTGTTCCATCTTCTAACAAGCGGTTCTTATTCATCGTAATCAAAAATTGGACAATACCAAAATACTAAATTTTGAGCCCCAGGTTTTGAACGCCGTAAAAGTGAATGAATTTTTACTTTGGTGCAAAGAAACACATACCTTTGGCGCAGCACGAAGAAGCGTACTGATAGAACGCAGACCGTTTGAGTTGCTGTTTTTTGACAAGAAGCAATCCCACAGCTGCAAGTAGTACTATCAGGAAGAGGACGGATCCACCATAGAGCGCCACCGCTGTCATCTCTCTCCAATTTCCTGCTGTACCCTTGTTCAACACAATGTCGTCAGTTTGAGACATCCATGTCATAGTCAATCCTTGAAAAACCAAGAATCGAACATCGATATTGAAATTTAAGAAACGATATACTATAAAAGAATGCATTTGATAAAGGGTTAAGTCCTGAGGGCTAAACACTCCTGAGAAGCTAAAGGAATGACGTAAGCCTAAAAGTTTGAAGCAGTCACTTCATAATTCAAGAATGAATACTACGGAATCCCTCAGGTATGGATGATACCTATTCTTCTTCAGTTTGTCGGTGTGCTCTGATTTACTCTGATTTATTCTGACTGATGCTCCAAGTTTTTCATCTAGCATTCCTGTACAAATCCACGCGGCCGAAATGATTGTATTTACCATTACGGCCAAAGCTGGAATATCCTGAAAGATCTCTACACATTTATCTTGCCCTTAGCCTAGCATTTATGAAATGGTGGTTATGAATCCATTAGGTAACACTAGTGCGTGATTCACTAGCTAAAGCTGTCGGCGTATTTGTACAGCTAGTATAATAGGTTTATGTTGGTTTGTTCCAATATGTTTCATAGGCGCCTACTAAATACGAGTTAAAAAGCACAACATAAATTCCGAATGTGTGTACTCCGAGTCGATCACCATCGAGACGCATCACTTCCGATGCACTTACGCAAAACGCCTTCCTGCATCTCCAATCAAAAATTTGGTTTGATATATTCAGAGGATTAATTCTATATCCAAGCTACTCGACCTCCCAATATGCCAAATTTAAAGTTATTGGAAATCTAGACAAATCTAACCAAACTAATGAATCAAATAAGGCAAAACCTGCCCATTCATTGGAAAAAATCCCACATTTACCCTGCTGGCGTGCATGAGTCTACCATTACTAATCATTTTTCTCCACTTCTTCTCTTCGGATTTCCACATTCTGAGCTGCACCTGAATGTATTTGAACATAGCACAATTCCTTGAGAACAATTGTCATAGTAGACAATACACTTCTCACTGCTTCACTGATATGCGGCAAACCTTGCGGACCAAAATGCGTCGAATTAATCATTTCGTACAGGTAGAACAAAGAAGATTCTTACTGGGACAATAAATGGATGAGCAGTTCCTTTTCTGTACAAATGGTAATGGGCAAGTAGACTGGACTGATTGTTCTTTAACAACCGGGTCGGTCTCCAGGGACAGAGGTATAAGGGCGGACAGTTTAACAAAACAGCTTCGCAATCGCGTTTGCTGGCAAACGTTTTTAGTGAGTTTTGGGTCGGTCGCGTCCGAAATAAGAGTCCAAGAGCACACACTCCATTCTTGCCAAACATCGTGTTTTGTACGTTGGGAAACATGCCTATTTTTTGCTGCATGAAAGAAAAGGATGCATTATGTTTTCGCATTTAACGTTATATTGGCAAAGTCCTATAACCGGGAACCAATGTGAAATCAAAATGCGTGGAAAACAACGGAAGATCAAATATCCTTATAAACAGTCTAAAGAACCGAACCGACAAATCCAGCTAATTCTATAAACAAGCAGATAATTCCTTTCTGTTGAATGTCTAAGTTTAAGTTTAACTATAGAGTTAGGCAAGCAAGACTAGCTAAAACTAACGGCCAGTTTGAAGAAAATATCCGTCTAATTTGTGCGGTAGAATAAACTTCAAAGTCAAACATGTCAATTTTTCATACTACACCCACTGATGTGGCCACCTCATTAAAACCTGCAGAAGTTTGGATTAGCGTGAGCTTTGGTGCACTTTCGTACTAGGACGAAGTAATTGAAACAGCCAATTCCGTCTCTTTTCAGTGGTTATGATGCACTGCACCCAATAATCAACCAGAATATACAATAACAAGTAAACGAAAGCCGACAACTTGAAAAGCCGAAGCAAGAGTTGTTGGGATTGTGTAAATTGAGATTCCGGGACTATAAACACGGGTTTGGCAGCATATCGTACAACTGATTTGGGACTAAAATATAACGGTCCATACGTAATTCAGTGACTTGGTTAAGTCTGCATTTGGTGAGTATTGATCACTTTCGTTCTGAACCAGAATACAGGCACCGCCATTTTTTGGATCTCATTCAGCTGTTTAAAAACGCAACAGATGTCCAAGCACGTAGAGGTGCGTAAGGGGTTTCAGATGCTCCCAAATATCAGACAAACGAGAACAAGAAAGAACGCAATCCTCTTTTAATCAAGCGAAGTACGGCTTAGGATTCGGCTGTCTAAATCCCTTAACCGAATCTGATTAAAAGAATACCGTCCAAAAACGAACACTAGCGTGACTAAGCTTCTGCAGGCGTAGAAGAAAATGAGAAACAACCCCAATAATGTAGAGATAGCCAGTACTCACAGATCACTTTCACTGTCGACTGAGCAAAGCGGTATTCCACAGCCAAACATTCGGCTACGCAGGTATAGTTTCCACTGTCATGCTCAGTGGCGTTCTCGATGATTAGCTGATTGTAGTCGTTCATCAGGATTTGTGGCATCGTCCCTGGTTTTATTGGGATGCCATCCTTCAACCAGTATACCTATGTTGTATGAAAAGGGCACGAAAAATAAGTAGCAACACGTAAGTCCACGTCTTAGAGATCCTTATCTCCTAGTCGTGAAAGAGATGCTTCTCGCTTCTGCAGGATGGAATTAATGAAGGGTTGATCATTCGCAATTCGGGAGAATTGCATCGGGATTAATCACCAAGCGAGTGTTGTTGGTGAAAATTGCTTGGAAATAACCGTTGAAGTCTGATTGAGGTGACCAGCTAGCTGATCTTTGGTGGTTATTTCTGAATTTCACAGTATACCATTCAAAACCGCTTGGTAGATCCAAGCATATTTACTTGAATATATTAGAGACACAATCACAAATATATGAGGCTTTTTGTAAAGACAACAATCAGTTCATTGAAGGTTATTTGGACCTAATTTAATTTAAATTTAACTAGGGATCACTAAAGGTTTGCTACAGCTTACCTCCGGTTCAGGTTTGCCTCTTGGTGGGACGCAGGACAAAGTGAGTCTGTCACCCACAGTTAAATTCGTCGAAATCGGTTCAACTTGGAATTTTTGTTCTAGGTCTAGAAAGCGCAAATGACAAAATTATGAAGAATGATAAATTAAAAAATGAACACTGAAATGACCCACAGAGACAAATGCCTTTAAACTCAACAAGATATTTTACTCTGTCTACAAAAATCGCCTCAATAGGAACTAACCAACAAAAAACGGTAACTACTTCTTTGCACTTTTCTCAACGCCCTCTCACGTTATGTGTTAGCACACACGCGTGGTCCACCACATAACCCACGCTCTACCCCGAAACCATTATCCCGTTTAGTTCATAGTACATCACTCTCCTGTTCAGCCATTCTCCCTGTTAAGACCAATCAGTAGTACATGATTTCCGTAGTACCAAGAACTCAAGCCCGATTTTCCGATATGCGAAGAGAGCACGTCTTTTCTATCAAATCGGTCCATGGGAAAATACGGGAATAGACCCAAGTGTGCTGGTGGAAAAGCAGTAATTATTTGTTCCATATTCCAAAGATTTAATGTCGGCGAGTGGATGCCGTTAAGGATGTGCTGTTATAAATTATGCTCGCTATGCTCGCATTTGGTGAAACACTTTTTCATTGCTCCATGAATTTGACTTGATTGTAATGACTGGTAATTTGTCATCTGCGAGTAATGGACACATTTTAACCTGATAATATTAAATAGTGAATGTGGTTTGACATTATATTGTAAAGCTGAATTACAACCCCAGTTAAACAAAGAAGTGAGTTTTTGCTAGTGTAAATGACTCGTCATAAGCCTTCTGATTGGCAAAGTCAGTCTTACTGGCTAACGCTTGATAAGTTTGTCACACACAAGAGTATAGGTAGGTGAAATTTTGTTGTACATGCGCACTAATCTATGCAAAAGTTTCCGCCCAATAATCAACCTTGTTACCAAGCCCCGAATTTTTCCGCCGTTACTTACTAGTATACTATACACACTCTGCCTATCGGAGAGTGGTAGGCGTTACGAAAAATGCTAAGTGATATATACGGTAGAAGTTGTTCTGCAGCTACAAGAACTGGTTCTCACGATTTTCAAAATAGTTTATTCTGTTAATTAAGAAAATGCATATCATCCCGTTTATCCTTGGAAAATTAAGAGAACAAAGTGTTGATTAGGTGACAAAGCGACCAGAGGATTGTACCGTTCAGGCACAGAATTCTTAGAAAATAGCCCGAACTTTCCCGAAATTGGTCAGCACAAGCTTGTTAAAAGGATATAAATTAAGCACTTTGCATGAAGTTTTGGGGAAAGATTGTTCCCCGCTGATCCCCATGACTTGCATTCACGAGATAAAACCCACAGAGTGATATACATTGTCACCCAAAAATGGTCTCCTAATAGCGCCAGATTCCTCGGACGAACGGGGGAAATCAAGCTTCTGTTCCACAATCTCTAACCTAGAAGATCTCACCCATGTGCCTATTACTGAGGAATATTCTCAGGGCTCTTCCTGCTACACGGACAGAATTGGTTAACCCTGGACTAGCCTAACCGACAAATTGAAGCCGGCTTAGTTGGCTTGGTAGGTCCGCTTTCACGAACAAAAACGGCAAAGTTGTCCTTCTCCCAAGGCATCTGTGCCAAGGTTACTGTTGCCTCAGATAAGACAGAAGCAAAAATGGACTGTCTTTCCACACACGATGTCTAAATCCAACCTCATTGTGAAGCAGATGAGTGTAAACCCTGCCACTGACCACAAAGTATCAAAGTCGTAATATGAGGCATTCTAGAAGCCAAATCATCCACACGCTGGGAATGATCAAGTATACATATTGCACATTGAGTCCTTTAATCTGAAAAATAAGCAGACAATGGATAATCTCATAGCGCGTAGTTTACAGTATTCAGTAACAATAATTTTTCTCTAATGACAATATGCGGAGATTTGATTATATTCGGTAGGGATTTCTTTCTTTTTATGAAGCCGATCCGTGCTGAAAAGCCAAGAATAACCGCACGACCATTGCATTCTTGTTAGGAATTATCAGCAGTGCACAACTCATGAAACTCAGACGGTTTGGAACCCGCGACCATGTGACCAGTGCTTGAACACAGCCAAATGGCCAAGAGTGACTGATCAGCCATGTGATTTGCTATGACAAGACTTGGCGCCACTTATCCTTTAAAAATGGTGAGCCACATCACTTGGCACTGTGTTGACTGGCTTCTCGAGTAACGACTTCATGACAAGGCCTTGGCGCCACTTATCCTTTAAAAATGGTGAGCCACATCACTTGGCACTGTGTTGACTGGCTTCTCGAGTAACGACTTCAATGACAAGGCGAAATCTCTACTGAATAACTTCTCTGCAATTAAATCTCAGTAACCTGAACTATCCAGCCAGGCCGGGTCTTATAATTTCTAGGAAGACACTGTGTTTTGGCTCTACCACACGGTGAATACTGAAACAATCATCTGATCCAAATGCCTGAGGTTGTTTCGTGAACTTCATACGCTGAGTGGCCCATTTGCACTGCTACGTTAATAGCCCGTTTTAATGTCATTTTTCATTTAGATGATATAACCACCGCCTACCAAAATCTTCCGAATTTCCATAACATCCCATCTTGTCTTGTGCGTGCAGCATTCAATTTGACAGTCAACAGAGGAAAAACCGTTAAGGAAAGGACTAAAATTGGGAAAATAAGACTGCTGATCTCCAAGGTAGCGCAAACGAAAGAGATAAATTTCTTCCTCCTGCAAAACCCGAGTTTGGACTTTGCTGAGGCAACCACCTCTTCAGGCTGGAATGCCAGTTTGAAAGATTTGAATGCCATGATGCTCACAGATACGGTATAGGGTAGTTTTCACTGGATTATTTCTGCTTTGATTTCTAGACTGCATGAGAAACTTTCAGTCCATTCTTCAAAACTACCAGAACTAGCCCATGGTCAACATGTGCTAGAAACTCCGACGGGCCTACCGTAGCGCATTTTATGCTGACTCTGGGAGAAATATCGAAAACATTTTCAGAAGTGCATCTTGGCCCCACTCAACTGGCAGATTTAACAAATTACTGTAAAGTGTAAACCACGTTGAATTCTTCAGTGCCTTTATGTTCCTCAGAATTCGCAGGGACGCTTTAAAAGTAAATTTAGAAGTTGAGGAGATTATACCATCTAGAAAAGTGTTGCCGGACAGGCCGTAAGTCTCTCTAGAAAAAATAAGTTTTAAGCCTTCGAGGAGGACTAGAGAATGGGATTAGCCCAGACCGATTACCGAAAAACTGGTTACCGCCCTCCATTTCGTTTTTTTCTCCAAACGCTGCATTGTCTTATTATTGTCAGGTACGCAGTTAGGATTCATAGTTTAGGAATACAACATAGGATTTGAGGGCTCGGAGTTTCAAAAGCAACGTGTTGCAAAAATAACATGTTTTTGTGACCTCGATCGATGCTTCCCTTCTCAAGTCTCTTTCTAGTTAACGGACTAACAGTAATTTGCAACGAGCTGCTTCGTGTCAAGTCCATACGCGATTTGACTTATGTTAGTTGGGATTGTAACTACTTTGCTGTCCACGTGAGAGCCGTAGGAATTATTTTGTTTCATTCTAGCCGTGTCCAGTGTTGTGCATTTGTTGGCCAAAACGATGCTAAAGGATTGCAAACGTCGGTGCAAAATTTGTCGGAGCAAAGGAAGAAACGGTAAGAATTGCTATGCCTGCCGACAAACCTCCATAGAAAACGTAAATGGGTTTTTAATTTCATCCCCATATGGAATGTGAGGCACTTACTAGTTAGTCTGTCTATCCTAACTATTATATTCATCCAATTTATCTTCGTCAGTTTGTCCTTGATTTTTCTGGTTTCTCGGAAATTTAGTGTTTGAATAATAAAACCGACGGTGATTATTTAAATGACACTCCGAGGTTCGAAACTGTTTCTCCCTTTTGCGAAATACGAACGCCATTTCATGGGAACACATTCCCCAACCGCACTTCTGAGCTACCAGTCATCGGCACTATGTCCACCGAATTTTGTGTAACTAAGGATTCCATCTGAGAGTTTTGGCCGTCTAATAATGCAAAGCATAGCAGTAACCTCAAATGTGGACAGGCAGTATATCGCTGGCACACTGGAAAATCAAGTCTATCTAATCGTAATTTTGGAAAAGCTACACAGATGGCCACGACTAATGTGTACCACTCGATCGAGATTTGTCACGTTTGCTTGCTTTCATGAGATACGACGCGACAAGCATGTGAAGGAGATTAAAAAACAATTCACCAGCAAACATGAATTCATTTGAAAGCCTCAACATGACTATTCTTTCAGTACCCTTTGACAACTGGTTGTTCAAAAACTAATAGTATGCCACTGTAAAACATGCTAGCACTCACAATATTATTTCAATACCTGGATACTGAAGTACGCCGTGATTTCTTGGAACAGTGATCCGCCAAAGGAAGCGATTGAAACGTACCAAACAACAGTGCCGTTATTTTAAAGGTATAGGGATGAGGAAAAGTTCACTCACGGAGGGTATGCTTCACGCTGTTTACACCTAACGACAAACGCAGAGAATCCCTATGAAACTGGCTTTTCTTCTCTGATATGTTTCACGTTGTCATTCGACCTACTCTCATCTGGAAACTCATGCAAAAAGAACTAGCAACGCTGGAATGGAAACTACGGATTATACAGTTATGAAAAATCGCTCTTCTCTATGGCAGCTTTTTGACGCATATTCAGACAACTTAACAGACTAATAAGGTTCGGTGGCTCCATCAGGAAAGAGTGCTTAATTACAGGTGTTTGCTCTAAATGACTCCCAAAGCCGCTATCAGAAAACGAATAGAAAATAAGTCTATTTGACGTCATTTCCGACAGAAATACTAAAATCCGTATTCCTCTAGCGTTGGTTCACTTGTATATGTCATCTGTTTTTCTGTTCATCAAGCAGAATAACTGAGTTGCCAGTCGTACATAACCTTCTAAACAGAGATCATCATTTTGTAGCCGGCTTCAGCTTCACTACTTTCTACAGGCACTACAAAGATTCAACGTCATAGTTTAATTATACGGCAGTTCTTCCGGAATTCCGTTCATCTGAGTGCAGTTCACCACCTTCTTTACCGGTGTTTCTTACACCTCATTTCTTCGTTGGAAACACCACTTTCAGCGGATTTCTTTACTTTATTTTATGAGTTTTAATTTTTGTCAGTTTTTAAGTGCGACATCCTTAGAGTACAGGGACACTGACTTCTTTACTGAGTCTTCCGTTTTTCGTTTCCTTCAGTTCAAAAAGGCTTTACTAAAAGCCAGAGATAGTAAAAGTACGCCACTATTTACCACCAAAAACAGTTTATTAGTCGCCCTACTTGTTTGCCACTACCAATGAAACTTTTTATCTTTCATTAAATGCCTGTTCGGGGTGAATAATCATGTTCGTTTGATACTTCAACCGTGGGTGAGTAGCACCAACGTACAGACAGTACTTATTGAAATTCTCAAGTGTGTTGACTGAGTACTCTTGAAAGGCTCTCCAGTTTCGTCTTGCAACGTGTTCGCAAGAAGAAATCAGTGAGAGAATGGATATGAATAAAATTTTTCGTTCTGTTAAACGACAAATCTTTACTGGTTCATCAGTGGAGGTGAAATTCGGAGTTAGCCCATATCACAATGTCATAAACATTACTGCGTTACGGGGAGTATTCAATATCGACTCTTATGTTGAAGCCGTTTGGACACCTTGCACTGCAGGAGGCTTAACAAACACATATCGTCAATCCGGAAAGGCGAACCCCGATTAAGCTGAAATGCAGTCTCTATCAAGGAGATGTTTTTTATTCACCACACAAGTACACCAGTTTTTGACAATGCAATTATAAGCCGACGTCAATGCAGTTCCACGTATGGGGCACATCTAAACTGCACAAAAATCGTCCCCGTGGCAACATTTGAAAATATCCGTTGGAGAGCCATCATTTACGAACATTAATTGTCGTCTACGTTCCAGTTTGCGAGCGATCATATTGCGAATATTTTCACTGCTTTGAGCGTTCTTCTCAGCGAGAGGTCACTTCAACACCGGAGCCGAACAACGCTAAGTCTACACAGTAATATTGGCTAGCTGACAGGTGATAAAAACGATGCACATGGTGTAGGCCTCTGCATCTGTGCGATCTCCAGACGCTACAACAATGTTTGCTAAGTTTTAGCCGGAGGGACCGCCCTTAGGATGAACCGGCTGAAAAAAGACTACTGTGTTTAAACATTCAGGCGTATTTCATTAGCAGGGTAACCACCAAAGAGGCAAGTGTGCATTTTTTCACTGAAAAAAAAAACAAATAATCACATGAGATAACCCTCCACTAATTCTTTCAGTTGGCCTTCCTAGAAAAAAATAACAACCCTAATACAAGCAAAACCGGACCAGAAATAGTCTTCCAAGAGGTTTAGGTTTTCGAAGCTTTTTTTTCACACACATGACAATACTTTTGCCTCATTCCAAAAGATTGTGGGGAAAAATGCCGCCCTCAGGCTATTATTCAGACGCCTGGCTCAATGCGCTGCTATTCTTATTACCTATTTCAAGTCAAGGTAAGGACAATAGTGCTTTAATATCTTTAGTAGACTTAAACAAAGTATCTATAACCAGCGGTGTTCTAAAAACACTCTTGTCAATAGGCACTTCAATGTGCACCGCAATGCTCCATGTGGTTACTAAAAGTTTGGTTACCTGAAGAAGAATTTAGTAAGACTCTTATGAGAGTACATTGTTGCACTATCGTGGAAACCAGTATACAATTGCTTCTCAATTTATAGTGAGTGGATGAAAAATTGTCTTCCGTGTATGACTGTAAAGATCACCCAAATAGCTCCTGTAATACCGCATTACATTATACAAACATACCCGCCTATATGTCCAGATAGCTACCTGACGCGGTTTCGTTTCCTCAAAAAAGGCCCGAATAGTGGTACTTTCTCGGGTATCTGTTGATCTTTTTCCCGAGTTTGGTGAGTCGCAAACAGAACTTCAGCCCCCTGATCCGATACCGGTAAGTGCGCCCGGAGACCATTGTTCCATTAAACTGCTAACCTGCATGCTCAGGTACAATGTTGGCAAGTTCATTGGGAAACAATCTCCTCACTTGAATACTTCTGACTTACTCTTGTATTAAGACTGGTCTACAGATGTTGATTTCCAAATCTAAATTTAAAACCAGTAACGAGGTTCCCAGCAGTGATTCAAAGTGGAAAGGCTTAATCTGCTGGAGAATTTAGAGGAAGATATATCGCCTCACCGCAATTCTTCGAGGTCAACCGTTTACTCTATACAAAAATAAAAAGTTGATTCGAACCCATAGTAATCATTTGGAAACCATTCACATCCGCGGTAACGAATCATATACGTAGCAGTGGACCAAGTTTCTTAGCTTGCATGTACGTTCCATATATGTAAAGCCTTGAAAAGTTATGTTCCCGAGTGGTATTACTGACAAAATTTCTCTCCGTCGCCTCTATCTTTGTACATAGATAGCTTCAGAGATGGAAAAGCGACACAGTGTCTCCTAAATCAATACGAATTCAACATGCGAATGGGATATATTTTTATTTATCCATATCTTCAGAATTATGTTTATTGCTTTCAATTATATCATCAGTGACTGAAGAAGCCCTAATAGCTCCAATAATCACAAATTTCGAGTTTATATGTCCTGAGTGCAAGAACCTAGCCAGTTGTCATTGACGTGCATTCAGCTAAGTAGTCAACAATGAGGTCATTTCTCCCCCATGCGTCCAACGTTTACCCTTAGTACCACGCAACTTCGAATTCATTTACAGGCTCGTACATTGTGGCTGTTATACTGTTTAACACCAATTCACACAAAAACTGGTTTTTCGGCACTTGAGACACTGTAAAGTAATGGTAGGTTTGGTGAACGCCACGTTCCCGTCACCAAGCCTCCGGGGTTCCCATTAGGTAAGGAGGACTCACGTTCCATGGGATGGAAAATGTGTAGCAAGACGAAGCAGTGATATGTGCAGACAGTTGCTGGAATCAGGTTTCTATAAATGCAAATATAGTAGGCACCAATGTGGCTACTGACATTTAGGAGGACCTAAAATTTGTTAGTAGGAGCACGCGCATGACTGGGTTGACGAGTACTCTGGCGTAAAATCATCTCAAAGAGTGTGCCTGTCATATAATTCCAAACAGATCAAAAAGAGCAACGAGATACCAGAGGTTTTGTTTCAGTTCTACCAGTGATAACGCCCCAGAGGATCATCATCATCAACAGCATGACATCAATGTTCAGCACCGATGCTTCACTACCATAAGCTAAGTTTACTAATACGAAAAAACTGAGAGCAAAATCTGAATTTTTTCCCAAGACAGAAAACTTGAACCCCTTTTGGTATCGTAAACCTTCACGGCACTCATGATCTTTGCATACCACAATCAAATAACGTACATGCTTCAATGATCACGGACTCTCTGCTTAAGACCTTCTTCGGGCGTTGGAGCTTGGTGACTCTACTCCAAGCCTCACACCGGCAGGTGTAAGAATCAAACCATTCCTCCACTTCTTTGGCAAATATTTGCAGCTCCAAATGCCATCTAGATCCGGTTGGGTCTGGCTGGTTGTTGGCATCTAAACGAGTCACCTTTAGCCTTCCTTCTTCTTCTGGGCCTCTGTAAGGTATAACCTTTCCAGCGCAAACGACTGCTGCGTGGGATACTGGTTCGGCAAGGCAATCCAGGATGGCGGGATGTCCTTTCATTGTATAATACACTGATTTTGGATGTTGGATAAATTGTGGTACGCCCTCGAGGTGCGCTTCATCCGGTCTGACAATGTCCACTTCTGAGTCCGGTGAAACTGGAACAGAAGATGTGACCCACTAGTAGGCGATGCGAAGAACAGCCAGTTAATTCATAACATTTTACCCCTCAAAGTCCTGCTCCCCTTTGTGGCTATCATATTCCTATACAAGCTGAGATATCATTCGACCAGTTGGCTTCTGCGTTAAGAGCGAAAATGATTATGAATGAATATGAATACGAATTCCAGTTAAACGCAAAAACAGTGAACTCAGGAAAGCAAAATATTCGCTGTGTTAGCTTTGACAATCTGCTGCTTTTACCATTTCATGGAAATCACCTTCTAACCTGAAAATCCTTTGTTACCGATAAGTTATAATTTGGACTGGATGCGGCTTCTCTCAGCTAAAATGCGCTCGTACTAGCTGCTGCAACTATTTTCGAGAAATTTTGACACAGTAGGTAAAATGCATTTCCGCGACATATTTACCGTGCTCCATGCAGATTAACAAAACTGTAGATTTAATAGGTTGAATGTGACTTCAGCGCAGCAGGGGTGCGCATGATTTGTCAGACCTTTGTGAACTGAGCCTGATCAAACCAAACATTGTGGCTTTCCACAAATGCGTGCAGGTCAGTGGCTGAGTATTTTTTCAGCATTTGAAATTGTGATAGATATAGGGTCGCTAAGGACACATGTTTTATTTGATCAGCAATGCGCACTATCATGTACCTGCTTGTCTCTCCCACAAAAGATTTTGCCTACCCCGTTAGTGTAATCAATTGGAATGACGAGGTACTCTGTGCCTGCAAATGGTGACGCATATATTGACCACTGCGTAAATTAAATTATAATAAAATTGCACGAAATAACTCAAGTTTTTATGCAGTTAGGGATATGATTTGTTGATACGGTTTTCTGGGTTTCACCTTGTTTGCGACTGCTCAGGCTCATTCTCATTAAAATTTACGGAATGGTTATTCCACCACAGCATATTTCTAATGTCATTATCCTCAGCAGTTTGGAATGTCTTACAAAATCGCATCACTTTAGTCCTGCTTATGAGTGTCTTCTCGTTTAAAGAAATTGATCTGGATACCTTACAGAATGAGTAAGTCTACCGTACAAGGTCAAATCAAAACCTGATGTTTTGGCTGTAACGTGACGACTTATAAATGTGAGGGAGCTTTCCGCACCTTCACATTCAATTTCACAGCCCTACACAATTAACAAAAATGTTCAACCACTCCAGCGAGACACCTGAATATTCTCGTTGCACAATCATACGTGTCGTCAGCATTGGGCCACTAAATTTGTGGTGGATGTTAGAACTAATTAAACATTTATTCTTCTAGTTGTTCTAGGCTTCATCACGTGCAGAGCGTGTTAAAAAAGCCAAGTAGCATTGAAGAAGACTGAAGCTTATGTGTTACGGTCCTTTTACACTGTACTGGGCGAGTTATACTGGAATAATCTACAAAGTAAACTTTAGAAGGATGGGTTTCAAATTCAAATAAAATTTCGACTAATGAGCCTTCACTTGCTCGATGTCGCCTGTTAACACAACAATGAGTATGAACTTTTGGATTGAAGGCGACTGTTAGGTCGACTGACGACCGGTAAGTCGTATGCAGACGAACCAACTGCTTCGATTGTTCGGAATTTTTCTATACAACTATGGCATTAGTTCCTCTACTCTTCCACGCATGGACCACAAATTCTTCCATCCAACGATCCCTTTGATTTCATTTTACTGTTGAATCTGAAAAGCTAACAGCTATTTATCAAGTCGTAAGCTACGTTAAAAAGCAATGGGTTTATGGGAAAACTGCCTCCTGTGACCAGCTTTAACTGATAAAAGGAGCTTCACCGTTCTGACTCAAGTACTAAATTTACGTACGGTTTTCTGCTTGTATATATTCGGTAATGAAGATCTGACCATTTCACCGTCTCTGAAGTAAAAGACAGTTAACCGATTCCTTAGGGATTTTTATACTGTTCAAAAAGTTACAAAGGCATTTGGAATAACGCAAGAGAAACATCAAAAACTGAATCACCAGACATGCAAATAGTCGTTTGCATCAAATATAGACCTAAATAATAATTGGTATTATTAGCAGAATTGAAGTTTTTAACTGTCTGCAGTCGAGGTTTTGTCCTGTAATTGAAGTCAGTCCAATCTGAAAAGTAGAAAGCACCGTGAAGTTGTTTGGTCCTTATTGCGAATTCATAGCAGTGCACATATCACAAATTTCCAGGTGCTTTCCAAGTCGTGATCTTCCGTCGAATAGCCTGAACGCTCAAAACCCATCACACAACCAACCACCAACAAGTAATTCAGAGGAAGAATACAACTCACATAATAATTGAAACTCACATCTGAGATGCCACCACTCGAGGAGACTGTCAGCACTTGTAAGCACGTGCTATGGATCCCATGATAGAAGGATAAGTGAAGCTGTATCCCCTCTAAGTGAGAGCTAGTCAAACCGCTCATCAGCCGCTCTTCGCGGAACAGTGGTACTTAAACTACCAGCAGGGATGTTGCGGGTGCGAAACTCAGTGGAGTTTTGTGAGATTGTGATGATTCCCAACAGGGATGAAACAGTAGTTCGATGTTTCTTGGCTTTTCAGAATGGATTAACTTAACTGAACGTTGAAATCTCCGTCAAGGAATTTTCCGTTTATCTCAGTCATTCATGGGGTTTGCCATACTGAATCATCAGGTCACTGAGACCTAAGTACTACTTAAGCATGCTCACCGTTCCCATTTTTGCCAGAAAATACTCATTTTTTCTGGTTTTCAAACGTATTTAAGGTGGCTCGAACAGTTCTTACTTGGCGCAGGATGCTTCGTCTGATTCACCCTCGTCCTACTTTGCCAACCGTCGATGACTGAGGTCACAGATGGTGAATTAAAGCAATTATACATAGAATCCTGAGCAAAAGTTTAGTTCTTTGGGTGTGAAGGGATGATTCTCAGAAGATTGAATGAAAAACAGTTGAAGAGTGACTAACCTATAAAGCTTGGCAACATAGTCTTACTCAGTCGATGGGTGGACACATGATGATGTCCTGAATATATGGTATCCATTTGAGTTTGTATCAACCTGCATTTGTCCATCTGAATTACACGTGAAATGACAACTGACATGCCTCTAATCTACTTTAGTCGTTGCGAAGCGCCACAGGTGAACCAGTGGTAATCAATCGTAATTTTTTTCTAAACACTCGCAATTTTTAAATAATGGGGATCTGCATTCGATTTGACAAAATTTTCCTGCGAAAACCTACCCTGACGAATCACTGTGGGATAAATTCAAACCATTCTTACGGAGAGCCTGAACGCAGATGGTTTCAATGCAAGTTTCGTAGTATGGGTAAAATTGCATATGGGTTTTCCATATATCCCAAAGGCCGTTGCAAATAATTTAAAATCCCTCTACTGGCATCGGCCTTCTTGAACAATACCTGGTGGGCAGATTTTCGATTTTCCAAAAACATTACTTCCAGCTCAAATAGTATAAACGAAAGCTCCAGGTGAGTGACTATTCCGCAGCACACTAATCTTCAGGCGAATGTTGGCGCTGCAAATATGCTCTATTGAGGTATGCGTCGTTTATATCCATAAAGACTCCTGAGTCTCTACGTGATTTAACAACCAGCAGGTCGGAATAGACAGGCTAGCTAAAATTCACCTGCCGATTAAACATTTAAGCAACTCACATGCACTGATTGCATTTCAAACAAATGTAACCATAACGCGAGCCTAAAACCCAACAACACAAGATGAGTATCCAAGACGATTTTGGAGTACTGCTCACCCTAGCTAATCCGTATTTCTCAGCAGGCCTTGCCATTTCAGGTAGTTAATTGTGAATTTAGGTGAAATGAAAGCCAAACTGACTTTATCCATCAGAATTTTCTGCTGCCAGTAAACCCAGTTAACTCATGTTAAATTCAAACACAGTCATCAACTCATCCAGGATTATGGACAAGGACAGCATATCCTGGAATCATCAGTTCACGCCACCTATGTCAATGGGTTCGATTAGCACAGAACCACACGTCCAAAATATACTAACAACACACACCAGGGCAGATGCTTATTCCTCGTTGGGGACCGAGCTTGAGTCGGAGATGAATTCTTTAAAAATGGGAACAGTCCTGCGGTGAGCAACCAAGACCTGCCGATTGGTTCATCGCAAAATTAACCCTTCGTGAGTTCCAAACAGGATTAAATGTAGTGGAATTGTTTTCCTACCAACCGCATCGTGAAAATATAAATTTTTACCACCCAAGGTCCAGTACGCAGTTACCGTTCGATTCACTGCCATACCCAGAGCAGTACTCTACAGTTAGTTTATCATCCTAAAGTGGTGTGACTCATTTTTTTAGTCGACTAATTGAGTTTCGCCTGAAATCCTATTTCAAACAGACACAAAGACGAGTCAAGAAAATTTATTTTGGGACTGGCATGTCTGAAGAGAGTGCCGCCATGGCACAGCGATGCAGTTCCAGCCGTCCTACCTGTTTTGCTAACCTAATCATTTCGACAAAGCCAAATGATTGTTTCAACCAAAACGTAATCCAATTGGAGAAGCTGAGCTAACTAAAGTCCCGTCAACTCGCCAGCAATTCAGAGGTGGCCCTGAGCACCTAAACAATGATAAGTGGTTAAATCTTTTCACGGATGAGTGAATAAGACAACTATTTATTGATTGAGGCTTTGGGGAATATATAAACAAATCAGACGTAATCACGGCTCTCGGTCTGCGATTCTGTGTGGTTTGAGCGCGGGAACACCCTATCCTACTAGCAATTTGTGTCATTCTTATTGGATTGGCCACCTCACTTTAACACAGCATCAGTCCACAAGACAGGCATCCTAACCAGACCGTATACATGGCATTATTAGTATTCTTTGTAAAAAAAATATGAAGCTCAGAGACAAATATCGAATGATTTGCAAATATTTGGACTATCAAATTTAAATGAACACAGTTCACTACATCGGTTTGTATCCTCTCAGACGTTATTGTTAGCATAAGAAGGATTGATCAATCCTGATTTCTGCAA